AGCCCCCGATGATGCCGCAACCGCAGATGTATAACAGGTCGTCAGCCAGTTACAGGCAGACGCCATACCCGGTGCAGAGTCCAAGTGGACAAAGCATGCGGCCCAACTGGCATAACCGCTCCGCATCGGTTGCGACTCCTCAGGATGCGTTCAACTATCAACAGCAGTCGCAACCACAATCTGCCCAGACAAGCCCAGTCGAGCCGACGAAGATGGACGACAGGCGTATCTCGCAGTCGGCGCAGCAGTCGTCGCCGCATACGCCACAGTCCCAGCAACAGCAGGTCTCTTCACCCCAGCACCTGTCACCTGTCATGTCGCGCACCGGATCGACGTCGAACCTGACGACTGGGTTCAAAAAGCTCAGTCAGTCCCCCCAGCAAATGCCGACTCCACCTCAGCAGCCTTTGCAGCAGTTGCAGCAGCCTCGTCAGCAACCCATGCCGTCTCCGTTCTACGCTAGCTTCGATCATCAGATGAACAGCGGCATGACTCCCTTCTCGATGGCTTTGCCAATGGACTCGCAGCAGTTGCTCGCGGGCTCGTCTGCCTTTGACTCGAACGACCCAATCACCTCGATGTTCATGCCGCCCCAGATGCCTCAGCAGCACACAGGCATGAAGCCTGAGCAGCAGCGCTACTACTCTTACAATCCGAACGGGAAACCCAAGAATAGCAACAACGTCGATAATCATCAGACAAGCTTCAATGGGCTGAGCCAGACCTTGGCGCCGGGATGCCTTGACACCTCTGTGGGCGCAATGGACAGTAACGTCTTCATCAATACATCTCAATCTGCTGCCACCGAGTACTTCAACACACCTTTCACTCCTGCTGGTCTCGACATGGGCTTTGGTACCGGCTTCGGGATGGACTCTTTCATGCCAGTCGGAAGTGGCAACACGAGCGGCCAGGTCACGCCTATCGACGAGGACTGGGCCAACATGGTCCACGAGGACATGTTCGTCTCCCAACAGTCTGTCTCTTAGGACTACCGACATGGTGACCCGACAGGATCCGCACCTCGTTTCTCCACGCGGCTTTCGCCAGCCACTAGGCCGTCCTACCCGTAGCTTTCGGCCTCAACGTCATAAGTCACTAGCTTTGGACCGTCCTTGCTAAGGTTCACTGGCGAGAAGCTTTTGAGGTGGGCCTAGATCTGCCAATATTGCCTGCCGTCCACGTCCCGAGCACAGTTTATCGCCCGTCCGGAATTGTGGTACGGTCACTCCTTGGCAACCGCTATCTTTCCGGCTTTCGGCCTCGTCTTCGGAATTGGTTCACTGCTCACCCTGCGACTAGCAGCAGCAGCAGCGGCGACGAGTTGTTCGGCGCCAACTCACTCGTGTACATATACCGACTTGCTTTCTTATTCTCACACACTATTGCTTTCGACCACTGGTCCCATTGATATGAAGAGGGACGACTGGTACCAAAGCTTCACGACGCACACGAATCTTTTTAGGACTACGGCGGTGTTTTGATGGGTATAATCGACGGGTCATGGGACAACGCCACGGCTCTGTATTGGATAGGTCGCACTGGCAGTGTACGGGTGGAAAAGTGTTCGATGGTATTGTACACCGCCCGATGGGCTGAGTACGATGGTAGTAATACCCATTGCGTGCCACGGGAGCCGCCAACATTGCTTCGTTAGCTTTATTATTAGTATGGATGGTAGTACACCGTATATCGCTCAGAGAGATGGAAGCTGTTCACATATCCCCAGTACTTCGCACACCAGGACTTCACTCTAACAAGATCAATCCACGTTCGTTCGCAGAGTCGCACAATCATATCGACACTCGTGTAGCAGCGGTTGGTCTCTCCATTATTCGCTGTAAGTCGCGACCGCTTCAGACTTCTTCCGAGTCGCTGTGTGTCGAGCGAACAAAGCTTAGTAGCTTACAGCCGCTCGGAGCTCCTCAATACCAGCAGCACGGCACAGTTGGCACTTGAGGCGTCTACAATACCAATCACATGCACGCCGTTCGCTTTGAGCTATTGCAAAATAGCTTTCCTGGGTTCCCTTATCGATTATCCGTCCCACGAAAACTCTATGCAAGCTGGCCGACGTTTCACTTTCAGGCGCCGCATGTCAGAAGTCTAGGTCGCACCGTCCGGATCAATCGTGGCGCAGCGGGGCTGCGCGGGTCGCGAATATAAACGCCACCACGCATCGACCTGCCCATGCTCGAGTCTCGAGAGTCGAGGCCTATATCAAGTCCCCAAGGCAATAATGGGGTGTGCGGAGATCAACAAGTGGCACAGAGGGGCTCGATCTGACCTACCATCTGGACGGGCCCGGGAAGCTTTATTGAAATACTGCACCTCGAGGCTTCAGCACACAAAAACTTGGCCATCGAAATTCGAACCCCCAGGGCCCAGATGCCCAGGGACCCAGCCCCGTCCGATCAGGTCTCCGGCGTCTGCCAGGCTGCTTTGAGCCTTTGCCGGGTATCGGGAGCTGCTTTCGCATGTTACTCTGCCTTGATTCGATCGCTCCGTGTTCCAATGCCTTGATTCGACCGCTCGGCCACCGATGGCGAGCTCTGTTGTTTGCGAGCGTTATGATCGCGATCTCCACCATCTCGTGTGCAACCCGCGACCATCTACAGGAGGATCGCGTCGCGATTCTGCCACGGCCAGCATGCGGTCACGCACGCACTGCCCTTGTTCACATGCCAGGTCCAACAACGTACGATCTTGACCCGAGACCAAGGTAACTGTGACCCTCTCCGCGGCCGTCCCCAAAGGTGATTCCGTGGCGCATCTGTATCCACCTCGCAGCTTTCACAAGAACCAAGATACAGACAACTATCGACTCGTCAGGCTGCTAGGGATCGCGGTCTCCTGGTGTGAATGTGATGGCATCCACACCCGCTATACCGGTGCGCAGCGATTGCTCGATCCGCCTCTTAAGAGCCCCAACCTTCACCCAAACCTTCACGTAGCAAGCATGTGCTAGGGTAACCGGTCGACTCGGGGAATCTTGGAGATATTAACTACCCAATGGGCGCAAAGCGCGTTAAACGGCTCTCAATTGGCTCTCATTCTCGGATTATGCACGATAATCTGGTTGCTGTCTGCCACGCGGCCCGCGCCCGCCACCCTTCATTGTTCAACGTTGTGCGCGGCCTCCATCAATCCTCCATCTTCCGGCCAGGCGCTAGGAGAGTGGCCGACGTGGGAAGCACAGCAGACGTGGCCTACAGGCTACGGCCCCGAGCAAAGTGCGTCGATGGTCCATATCTGGGGCACAGATTGTGCACGACGACTCAGCTGCTTGTTGCCTGCCACGCATGTCCCATCCAAAAATCAGGGAACCTCGTGGGGTGCATATGGTCGACACCCAACCGCAGCAGGACACAATTTCTCCAGAGTGATTCTACAACTTGCCTTTGCGTACAAGGCGGTTGCTGTAAGCCTGTACGGCCGTGACCTTCGCAGCGAATGCGAGGGCGAAGCAAGTATGATAAGCTGAGCCCAACCCGGAAAGGGGGTTTGTGATCTCGCTGTGAGAGACTGCTGCCGCAGTATTGGGCGAATCGAGGCTTCGAGGACGATGTGAGTGTAGGTTTGCTGTTCCGACTGTCACCCTTTTTTCTCCTGTCGTTCCTCCTACAGACAGGCTGTACAGCACTGCAGCCGCGGCACCTCCGCCTTGAACAGAGGAGCCATGCAAAGCATGAGTTGTGATCGAACAGTATGGATACTCCTGTTCTCGCGCCGGCGTGTGCTCACGACCCATCAGCGACACTGATTCGACCCCGGCCTGCTCCTGTCTCATACCTCGCTTCCAGCAGCGCCTCGGGCTCGCCATGGAACCCATCTAGAACGGCATAAGTTACTGTCAAGACGTGTCGAACAATTGAAGGAAGCGTGCTGCATCTGTCGGGGAGTACTGTTCACTTACTACATGTTGTTCGCGGCAGCCACTCACTAAGCGAGGGTTACTTCAAGCCCAGGCCGGCTCCTCTTCCTCTGAGAATGCTCCGCCGTACCACTTATGAGCGTTGACGCACAGGACAGGGCGCAGATAATGCCACCGTTCGTATCCACTACCTTGCAGCATCACACTCGACGTCGGCGGAGCCTATGGCAGACAGATATTGTCCACAAGACACAATGGAACTGTGTAACGATAGGATACCGCGAAATTGTTGCCTCGGACATCTGCGGGACCCCCAGCCCAGGCCCTAGTGATGCTGGTTCGGATGACTGGCCTCCTCTGGGTGACTCTTACTGCCAGTCGCCTTAACCGCATCTCAGGTGTCGATGGTTTTACGTCGCTAGTCCATGCCAGATGGGTCGTGCCCACGAAGCAGCGCGAAGCACCAGGGTTCAACCTCCGCCTCAGCAATCCGAGGAGAAGGCGGACGGCGACGGCTCTCCGGCCATCGTGGCTCATTGCATATGTGAGAAGTAGATTATACGGTATGCATATATGGCCTGAGAGCTCTAGTCCAGGCAGAGATCCCCGCGCCAGCAACGCATTCACAAACGGTGCCGTGCACAGTAACACTCCCCTCGAACCCAACCCGATCCAGGTGACTCGTGTCTTCTTCTCCGATACCAGACACTTTCACCTGTCCGCCGCCTCCTTGGCCGTCGTGCGCCGTAGAGGTACTAGGGCGGGCATACAGTATTTCCTTCGTAGGTGAATACCATCACCCCTTTGTGGTCCGGAGGAAGTGCAGCGGATGCTCCTCTCGGTGCAGACGTGGAGAGACCGAGGCCTATCGGCAGGGCGTGGCTCCGACTCGAACACGTTCCGCGTCCAGTCCAGGGACTCCTCAGAAACGTCGCTACGTCCGCCACCATCTCTTGTGCTCACGCTGTGTGCCTCCGAAGGGCCTTGGGAGGACTCTCCATCTACCTGCTGCCCGTACACTCACAGCGCAATCCTCCAACCACCACGGCCAGAACCGGCGTGACTTCGGAACAATCCTCTCATACTCTTTGAAGCACAACAGCATGTTGCCAACCTGTCTCAAATGGGGGATGTGGTCCAATGGTACGATCCGTCTGGTTTGACCAATCGGGATGCCGGTTCGAGTCCGGCCTTCTCCAACCAAATCTTTTTGCATTGTTCAGTCTGCGTGCATAGGTCGTCATTGCGGAATTTGGTATCAACTCGGAGCATCGTACGGCTCCCTACGTTCCATAGGTCTGTCAGTCAAGGGATGGATCCGGTGGAGGACGCGAAGCTGAGACGCTGTATCGATCCCTGATTTTCTCCCCGAATGCTTTGCTCTCCAGGCTGAATGATAGAACGATCATGAGCTCGCGCAGAACGCGGCTTTGGGAGCAGCTGGTTCGGTATTGATATTGACGTGCTCTGCTCAGCGCTGTGTTGGAGCTTCCTCCCGTCCGCAAGAGTCATCCTTTGGGAGGCTTCTGGACGCCATGCACACAAACTATTGTTGGGCCGAGCTTCATGGTCCTGGTGTCATCATTCATGTGCGTCTGTCACGGACTGCCACGCGCAAGCTCGGCGTCTTCTCGGTAGTATGCGCAAGTACGTACATGTATTTCCGTAGCCGGAAGGTACGTCGATGAAGGGGTTGTGCTCTAATGGTAGGGTACTGGTGCGTAACGTTCCGCGTGCGCGCATTTGCATGTTTGCGCTCATGCCGTTCAGGTACACACTAGAGATGCTGGTCCGACTCCGGCCTGCTCCACGTCTCCTTTTGCTCGGCCCACCTACAGCTGGCGTCGCTCGATAGTCCGGCCTGCTCCAAGTCTCTTTTTGCTCGGCTCACCTACAGCTGGCGTCCCTCGATAGTCTACTATAGCGAGGGCGTCACGGGACCAGGAAGGAGCAACGGTCCATTCATCTTGATTGGCCTCGCTCATCAACGGCTTAACCCCTAAAACATCCTCTCCCTCAGATACTTCTCAATCTGCGGCTTGTGGTGCCCCTTCAGCACGACATGCCGCGTCACCGGGTTCACCTGACAATCCTTCTCCTGCAAGCCCAGCACGCCGCGCAGCTCATCCCGCAGCGTGTCCACCTTGCCGTCGACCTTCTTCACGCGCGTCATCTTCAAGTTGCCGCCACGCTTCCTCAAAGTGTAGATGGGCAGCTCGTTGCTGGGGGTGCGCGTGACGAAGTAGGGGAGGTTGGGCGCGCATTGGTCGGAGGAGAGGGGTTCCACGGGCTCCGGGATGAGCTTTGGCGCGGTTGTTGGGGTGTGCACGAGGTGTCGGGTTGGGTAGACGCGTTCGGCGCGTGGGTGGCGCGAGCGGTGCGAGGCGCGAGACTCTTTGGGGCGGGGGAGGGACTTCATGGACTCGGGTGGGTAGGAGGCCGAGGAGGTGCGGGAAGCGATGAGGTTGGCGTCTGCGCGTGGATGTTAGGTGTGATGGTCACATATAGCTCGGTCAGGCACATACCTTCTGTACGTGCTGCCTTCGCTGCTTGTGCCTCGGCGCTGCATCTTGGGGTGGTGGAGAAGCGCAGGAAGTGGCGGACTGTCGCAGGCCTGGGCAGACCGAGCGGGCGCAGGAACGGCATCAATGGTGCTGAGCAGGCCATGTCGGGTGTAGCGAAGCGTGGTGACACAGTGAATGGCGTAGGACGTGTCTCGTGACTGGGAGATAGCTTGGCTGCGAAAGGAGGTTCATCGCCCATCAGTCGCAAGGCTGAGCAAGCTTCATCACCAACACCTCCGCCTCCGCAAAACTCTTGGCACACACCAAAAAGTCGGCCGCCGCCCCACATCAAGACACCACTCGCCAGGCGCAGAGATAGCGAGGGAGACAGCAGCGCTTCCCAGACTCCGCCACCCACACCGCAATCATGGCCGACGCACACCCCCCCTCCGCCGGCGACCTGACCAACGGCGCCTCCACCAACGACCACACCACCGCCGAGGCCGCGAAGGAGTACAACCTACTACCGCACCTCATCCCCAACCTCGACCGCCACCTCGTCTTCCCCCTGCTCAACTTCCAGGAGGAGGAGACGCCCGAGGATGAGGACACGACGGACATCACGCAGCTCAAGTACTCGCTGCTCAAGCAGACCAACATGCACGACTTCGTCGGCGACCTCTACGCCCAGCTGAACCACCTGCCCGAGCGGCCGCAGGAGTACGCGCAGAAGCGCGACGAGGTGCTGGCCCGGCGGCAGCAGTACGAGGAGGAGACGGAGAAGCTGCAGAACCTGCTGGCGGACGGCGATGTCGTGGGCAACCTGCGCTCGGATAAGGAGAGCAACATGAAGTACCTGACCGAGAACCACGGCGTCACGCGGGAGATGGTCGAGCAGCTGTACGAGTTCGGGCAGTTCCAGTACTCGTGCGGCGACTACAACAGCGCCGCCGAGCTACTCTACCAGTACCGCATCCTGTCCACCGACAACGACCGCGTCAACGCCGCCACCTGGGGCAAGCTGGCCTCGGACATCCTGACCACCAACTGGGAGAGCGCGATGGAGGAGGTCACCAAGCTGAAGGAGTCGATCGACTCGCGCCTGTTCAACAACACGCTCGCGCAGCTCGAGCACCGCACTTGGCTCATCCACTGGTCCCTCTTCCCCTTCTTCAACCACGAGCCCGCGCGCGAAGCCCTCACCGAAATGTTCTTCAGCCAGCCCTACATCAACACCATCCAGACCTCGTGCCCGTGGATTCTGCGGTACTTGTCTGCCGCGGTCGTCACGAACCGCAACCGGCCGGGCAGCAAGAACAACTTCTTCTACAACAACTACCAGAAACAGCTCAAAGACTTGGTGCGCATCGTGCGCCAGGAGCAGTACGAGTACAACGACCCCGTGACGGCCTTTGTCAAGGCGCTGTACGTCGACTTTGACTTTGAGGAGGCGCAGAAGCGGCTGAGCGAGGCGGACGAGATCCTGCGCTCCGACTTCTTCCTCGTCGCCACCGCGGACTCGTTCCTCGATGCCGCGCGGCACTTGATCTCGGAGAGCTACTGCAAGATCCACCAGCGCATCGACATCAAGTAAGCCCATCCGCCACCTCACACCACACCACATCCCGGCCCCGTACCACCCACACGAGTCTTGTCATCGCTAACACGGTTTTTGTCACAGGGACCTTTCGAAACGCCTCGGCCTCTCGCACCAGGAGGGCGAGAAGTGGATTGTCAACCTGATCCGCGACACGCGCGTCGACGCCAAGATCGACTACAAGGCCGGCACTGTCATCATGAACCACCCGCCCATGAGCGTTTACCAGCAGGTCATCGAGCGCACCAAGGGCGGCTTCTTCCGCACGCAGGTCCTGTCGGCCGCCGTGGCGAGGTAGGACCTCGGCGCTGGCAGGGCTGATGGCGGTTTCGCGCGCGAGATGGAAGGCGAGGCGGGTACCGGTGTCGGGAAACTAGGTGGCGGTTTCGCGCTCGTCGGTGAGCCGGGGCTGAGGAGGCGCGGGGATGGTCTGGCTGGTAGCGGCGGTGGTGGTGGTGAGAGTAAGAGTGCGAGGCCTGACAGTAAGTTGGAGCATCTCCAGGCGCGCGAGGAGAGGGTTTGGGCTGGCTGGGGTGCATAGCGTTGCGCATGGCGTTTCTGGCGCCATTAACAAAATGTGAGCTGTCACAAATGACAGGGAGAGGCTGCGGGACGTGTTCGTGTTACACGGCATGCATCGCATGGGTTAGGGTCAGCCGCGCTGACGAATGGGAGACGCCAAGACCGTTGAAGCTTCATGGCGGTTTGGGCAGAGGGTCACGACGGAGGACGTGAATGTCTGTTGAGGGCGAGTAGGTCCTCTCAAATTCAATCCATGACAACCTTCACTCCCTGGCACCCGCATGCTGCACTCCTGGAACTCGCATGGCTGGCTCTTGCGCGGGTCCTTCAAATAGTCGAGCGTCTCCAATTCGTTTGCAATTTCTCACTTGCAACTTTGCAACTTTGCAACCTCACTCTCCGAAAGGGTACATACTCTTGGTCGCTTCTCTTGCAAAAGTCTATCTTGAAGCTTTCTTGGAAGATACTCATTCTCTTCTCCCTCGACATCTCCCCGGTACGCACGACATCTTCTCAAAGCACCGAACTGTAAGTGCCTCCATGCTATCTCATCGTCTCTCCACAATGCACATTGCCCTGCGGTCCTAACATCAACCATCACCGCATCGGTCTCCGTTGGCTTCAGAGCCGCAGGCAAGCAAAACAAGCTTTGGAGCTTTGCAAGTTCTTTTCACATGTCAATTTGCTACCCTTGGGCGTTTGCACCTTTGCAAATCCTTACTTGGGACCTTCCAGATCCTTCAGCCTTTGTTCAATCTTACCTACAAGACATACATCCTCTGGGCCAAAGAAACTGACATGTCTTCTTCCCAACTCTAAGCACACCGTACCACGACAGCCTCCCAACCAAAAACACGTCACGTGAGCGGTCAAGATGCCTCTCTCTCAAAAACAAATGGAGTACCTGGCCATCGCTTGGTCCGTGCACCAACACCCCCATCCAAGACCACGCAAGAGATCTAACGAGTCACTATACAGGCAATGCTTCGACACCGAGCCCAAGGTACGCGTCAACATCTCCCCAACCCACCCACCCACTCACCCGCCCATATCCCGGCCAGCCCCAAAGCTCTCGCTTGCCCCCGCCTCCAGACCATCCACCAGCAGACCTTCCTGCCCTGTACACTAACACTTTGTTCCTCCCACCCCAGATCGACTACGCCAAATTCGCCAAAGTCGCCGGCCTCGCATCCGCCAACAGCGCCCGCGAACTCATGCGCGTGACCAAGAACAAGCTGAAGGTCGAGTACGGCGCGCTGGGCGACGGCCTGCAGTCTGCCAACGCCAACACGCCGAAGAAGAACGGCAGTGTCTCTGCGAGCGGCACGCCGGCGCCCAGCACGAAGAAGCGGGGCCGGAAGCCGAAGGTGGCTGCGGCTACGACGGGGGAGGAGGATGCCGAGGGCGAGGACGACGATGATGCGGATGCGAGCCCGACGAAGAAGGCGAAGACGAAGAAGGCGGGTGGAAACGCGCGTGCGGCGGTGAAGGCGGAGCCGGTCGAGGATGGGTTGTTCGGGGAGGAGGATGGCCTGCTTCAGTAAGCTTCCTTGGCCAGTGAGGCGCAAGAGGCTGG